CAAATTTAGTATATTAGTCTTATTTTTGATTCGATGTTAACATAACTCTGTACTATGATATTGGTGATATATGAATTGGATGCCATAGGATGGTACTTGATGGCCAAACAACCTAATCAAATATGTATTTTGCATTGTACGAGTGCAAAATAAGTTATTAGGAAATTAGAAAATTAGGATATAGAAATTTTAACTTTCAATTTTTAACTGTGCCAAATACAAACGTGCACTTATGAGCGGTGAATCTGACAGGAATATTTCAACAATTTTTGAGAGGGTGCTCGACTATGCGCCTACTCTCTATACAATTCATCAGTGATTTCCTGAGATAAGGTCATTAAACGCTTACACGGTCGGATACAATGTTATTTTTCAATGCTAAATAGTGTTATTGCTTTCTAAAAAAACGAGCCTAAATGAATATAACCGTACCAAATATTTACGAGTATGACCATGATCACATTAATACTGTAAATTTGAAGTATTATCCAGCAATGTGACAATCCCCATATAAAATACCTAATAAGGTGTTAGAAGTGTTTCTCGTGGCTGGTCACACAAATGGGTTGATAGTAGAATCACGCGTTGCCAGATGCTCACTTCTTTTGCAATTTATTTCAAACTGAAATTCATTCAAAACAGTTGATCGTCAGGCCATTTTCTTATCGTTTTTACATATTTGTGGTATCCTGTTGTTAAGTACTTTTTTGTTCACATATAGCGTTCAGAAAACCAACTCGATGCGATCACCAAATGACATGACACGTTCATTTTGTCAAAAAATCTCTTTTGTGTTAGAAAATAATGACAGTGTTCCACTTTATATAACGAACATCTAGGATTAAAGTATTATTTGCTAACAGCATGGTGCCTGTGTTTTTGTGTTTGTCCATCGACAGAGATAGTATGACCTTCCTTGTTTGAACCATAAATAACATCCCCGTTCTTTATGTGTATTGTCTGTATCACAGTCAGCTGGCGCACAACTGATATAATAAAATAAATGCGATATTTACTATATGGGGCCGCCATCTTGAATGCCGCATAAAACTAAATAAGAGACAAGTTCTGAAACGCGTTTTTCAGAATCCTACAAATCAGGACAAAAATACCAATTTTTCACCGAAAACACGGTCCGTTGGGGTTATATTAAGCCAACCGATAACAAAATTCGGCGGAATTCGTCGTTTCTGTGTGGAAAAATCCCTTAAATACTAACACAGACTTCTTTCTCAACTATTGAACAAGTTGGCAAGGAAGGAATTCTAACCCACAACATGGTCCACAGAGGAATTAGGGATTAAAAGGACCATTTCAATTTGTATTTATGTAAATTGATACACGTCAAGTGATGTTCATATGTTCGCTGAGTTTTTGTGGTTTTGTGCGAATTTGTGTGATTTGCACACTAAATCTTCATACACTACCTGTACGTGGAATCAGCAATCTAAGTAACATCATATCATATTAGGTTATGTACCGTGTCTCAGTCCACAATCGATGACCAAGTACAGTCACTTCAATATCCACCACCTACATGTAGTATCAATGTGCAAGCATCATGCGATAATTCAGTAATATTTACAGGACGTAAGAATGAAGTATAGTGCAGTTAGAAAACAATAGTTATTGAAAGAAACGTTATATAGCGAACTATTTTCAGTTAAAAGTTATTTTCAGTTCTTTTCGAAGAGAAGAGAATTTAACATGATGTTGTATTGTTAGTTGACAAGACATTTAATCAATGTACAGAAATTGAAGTTTTTCACTATGATCAAAAATATAAAATGGTAACACAATTATTGCGAGAATTCCAAAAAGCGCCGTAATGTGACAGACGGTACTAAATATTACCATGTGAGGCATCAAACTCGTAGAAACCGTCAATGAAATAGGACAGTTTTAATATGATAAAATGATGATATGTGAACGTTCGTAAATATTTACCATGGGAATGGGACTGTCAAAATGGAATGATGTGTACGAATGATATGTTATTAGTTTGTGCAAATCACATTGTAATTCTTGGATGTAGTATGTACTATAAATTGGTCATAAAAACACTCAGTCTGACACCTATTGAAATCAACTTGTATGTTATTCAGGATATCGTGGACCGTTAATATGACTCCAAAAATGGTATGTATTATATAAATCGAAATCGCACTACAAATACAAGTCATTCAGTGGCGGACGAATCACAGTACACAATACAGAATCAGTTCGCCAGCTTTTCAACTGCAGACAAATCACAGTTCACATTACAGAATCAATTCACCAGCTTTTCAGTGGCGAACGAGTCCCAGTTCACATCACAAAATCCGTTCAGTGAGTTCATCGTTATATGAAAGCGAGAGTTGGCCTCAACAAAGCATTAAATAAGACAAACCATATTTTAAAATATCATTATATCCAATCGCATTCATGTATATCTACAGGACAGCTAAATACTGAATACATTACGAAGGTAATGGGATAATGCAAATGCTACATATCGGGCGACATTTTCATATCGTTTTCTCATAATATAAATAGCAGTATGTATACTAGAGATTTAATGAAAACTTATTTCATTTTCAATATTCGTTTAGAAGCAAATAAAATCAATGAAATGATAACATTCTGATTGTTATACTTTGTAACACTTGTTTTGTTTGACATATGCATGTCATGTAGGTATGTTCTTTTGTTATTGAACAAATAAATGCAAAGCTGTAGCATTACGCCCAGACGTAAAGACGTCGTCGAAATAGTGTGAACATTTCAAGACAAACTGACAAAAACTGTGAGAGCTAATTAAGTTTCAATCTCTCTGACCAGTCAGAAAATACGAACGGAGATAATGTCCGTTTTATGAAATCTCATACCTCATCCATAGAGTGCCTCAGTACAAGAGGTCGCCGAGCACGCCAATAGAACATACTTTGTGACATCGCGACCGGTACATGCTAGCTGACAAGGGGGTTTCCGATCAAAGTAACATCACTACAGAGTGCTTGAATTTTTCGTGGTGTTTATAAACAGCATATAGTTGTCGATTTAGTTATAATTTGGATGTAGCCGGAATTTTAACTTTCAATTTTTAATTGTGCCAAATACAAACGTGCACTTATGAGTGGTGAATCTGACAGGGATATTTCAATAATTTTTGAAAGGGTGCTCGACTATGCGCCTACTCCCTAAATAAATCATCAGTGATTTTCTGAGATAAGGTCACTAAACGCTTACACGGTCGGATACAATGTTATTTTTCAACTCTAAAAAGTGTTATTGATTTCTCAAAAAAACGAGCCTAATTGATATAACCGTACCAAATGTTTACGAGCATGATCATGGTCGCATTAATACTGTAAATTTGAAGTATTATCCAGCAATGTGACAATCCCGAAATAAAATACCTATATTAGGTATTAGTAGGGTTTCTCGTGGCTGGTCACACAAATGGGTCGATAGTAGAATCACGCGTTGCCAGATGCTCACTTCTTTTGCAATATTTCCCAAACTGAAATTCGTTCAACATTATTGTTCAAAACAGTTGATCGTCATGCCATTTTCATATCGTGTTGACATATTTGTGGTATCCGGTTGTCAAGTACTTTTTTGTTCACATATAGCGTGCAAAAAAACCAACACAATAAGATCATCTAAAACATGACACCATGTAATCTCTTTTGTGTTAGAAAATAATGAGTGTTCCACTTCATATAACGTACATATGGGATTACAGCGTTATTCGCTAACAGCATGGTGCCTGTGTTTTTGTGTTTGTCCTACGACAGAGATAGCATTACATTTAGAGTTGAACAGTTTTTTTTTTAGATTTACTTCAACAGACAAACAGTCTCATGTTAGAAAAATATACCAGAAAACATTTTAAACGTGACATTTTCATGTTGTATGGTTTATACTTGATATACAAATAACACGCATATAGTCAAAACTGAATTGTCATTGTTTGAACCATAAATAACATCCCCGCTGTATTAGTACTTGTTTATTTATGTGTATTGTCTGTACAAACTAAATCCCCCTGACCCTGACCCGGTTGACCTAGGCGATAGTACAAAGTACGGAAATGTCGCCTGGCACAAACAACTTTTTTTAAAACAAATATTACTAAATAAATTTCCCCTTGGTACCACGACGATCAATTTGGCCTGGTGTCACATGTATTGACCAATAAAAAAAATGACATATTAACACGCGACACTTGAATAATAATCTATATTGTGTCAATCACCACGTCTCCCAGACGTGAACTTTAACGCACAAGAGAGGGAACTTCTGTAAGTATTCTTATATTTAAAATGATAACTCTGTAATGTAGTTCTCAAATAGTCCCATGCAATACATACATTCGGCGTACCAATTTGGAATAACAATACAGATCCATTTCTTGGGCCGAATGCGTTCGAAATATCTGTTCCGCGTGTAGTTAGAATGACGCGGCAATGTGAATCTGTTTACATTTCTAGAACGAAAATACTGACTGTCTGCGTAACCCAAAACATTAGTACGTCTTGGATGTTAACGCGAACTATGTAAAAAGTGTCATATTATGGTTAGGAATCCGATTTGTGAGTATAAGCGTACCTCCACTGTATAATATATTTGAGCTTGCAGAAAAGAAAACAATTAATCCAATAGTGTTTATTCATGTAATCACATCGTGCATACATAATCATGACACAATTTGAAATAGTATATAAATTTAATAATAAGGTATGAGCTATTAATTTCGGCGTCATTGATTGTGCTTTTGATACTGGCACCATTAAATTAACTAAGACAATTGCAGCATGAAATATCTTATATCTTTTAGCGTGACAGGTCGCGCGTACTTTCGTCATGTGACGTTTACGTGGACATTTTAGTTGTGAGCCATTATTTTAGCTGTCATTTCTTATTGTTCCTCTCCTTTTCACGTTTGTGAGCATGCGTAATAAATACGTCACAACTTTTATATCATAAATACACCATGTATTCATTCAGATCATCATCATCATTTGTATCGTACATAGAATGTACAGTCTCTGATTTAGTTGAAGATATCAAAGTTCGGCATGGCAAAAATCGCTATATTTGTTTCGATATGTGTTATAATTGCATCGCTATGTAATGATGTACACGGAAAAAGCGTGAAAAAAAGAGCGGAAGCGGAAGCAGAAGTTACCGGGACTGATGCGGGTGTAAGTTAATGATTTTATTTTTATCTAGATGTTATAATAACTCTGTGTTGCAAAAATTCTAGTTGCAGGACTACATATTCAGTTTTTTAAAATATGTCCCCATTTTCACACATCCTCTGGCTTTATTTAGAATTATTGAAAATATTACTCTATAAGTTCATAGTTTCAGAAGAAGTTTGTTCTTTCGTGATCAAAGTGGAGATGCAACTTCGTCATTTTCTTACTTTACTTTTTAAACTTGAATTGAAGCAAATCTATGAGATAGTCAAATACGCCATATATGCTTTGTACATATTGCCTTTTTCGAGTGTCGTAATTGGGAAACCTTGTAGGCGTCCCATGAATATACAAATAAAATATACGAAAATTACCTTTTAATGGAACAATAGCTACAATTAGTAATTTTAACATAACATAACAACCTAATAAATTGCTCATTTCTGTAATGAACATGGCTGACGAGTTTACTATATACTGTCTGTATAAACACAGTACATATTTTTGTCGGAAGTCGAGGGTTCAGATGATCGATGATTGAAAACAACAAAAAACAACTATTTGGTAGAAAACAAAATTGGTTTTAAGTTCCAGGCTTAGGCATAGCTCGACTAATGAGATCTGAAGAACGTAGATGGTATTTCTTGCTACTGGTAGTAGAACTGTTCAAATTTTAAAGATGTTTTATGATCATGAAACTCGGGTATTTTTCGCACCAAATCCACCGCGAGATATTTCGTTTTACGCACAATGGAGGACGTGGATAACCGGACTTGAGCTCCGGTGCGAGTTTCCCAATTTCATAAAAATAATTGTATTCGAATCTCAGGCTAGCTAATTTGGAGTGGTGAGGAGCATACAGGCATTTATACCGCCTGGGGGAACGAACAACCAACTGGTCAAATAAAAATAAATACAAATGTAAAGTAAACAGATTTAATATTTTAACTAGTAATTCACTCAATATAGAAACGCCATAGCAACAACATGTCTAAGTACAACGACAATTTCTGAAATTACAAAATGCGTGCTTTACAGAAATTTGTCAGTGAAAACACAATAGCTTTACCGCTATCGTCAGTTCTCATAAAATGATACATAACACAATAATAAACTCATGTCAACAAAATCGCCAACCAGTTCACAACGTTCTGTACAGTCCTGTACAGTAAATTCGCTGACCACGAGGCAAGTATAATCAGCGATGACGCAATGGCGTCGCCAGAGAACACGGTCACTCCACAGTCACTTGGGGGCTGAAAATCAATAAATACTAATTTTCAATAA